GGCCCAGCTCAAAAAGGCGCGCATGGCGGGCCGGCCCGAGGGCCCAGGGCGCAGCAGCCCCAGGGGCCAATGCAAGTCCGTCGACGGACGAGCCCCTCCCTGAAGGCACCAAATCACGAAATGGGCCGCGTTCCCTCGGCAAACCTATCCGCCTGCGGAAGGTCCTCCTCGAGCTCTCTCTGCGCGTCTGGAACTCTGGCGCCGCGGCCGGGTCGGGCGGGGGCTGGGGTGGGTGGGTGGGCGCGCGGAAGATCTCGGCGAAGAGGCTCCGCGGGGGGGGGCCCTGGGGGCGCCGCGCGCGGGGCAGAGCAAAACATGCGCCTCGGAGGTCTTCGCCAGCTCCATCGCCATAGCCGCGCCAATCAGACTGGCGCCGCGCGCCGCGCGGGCGTCTTCCACGAAGAGAAAGCGCCGGGTCAACGGGCGCTGCAAGTGGGCCACCCAAAGGCCCATCTTGGGCCGAAAACTCAACCCGAATCCGGCGCGCCAAGCGAATGTAACTCGCGCGATTGAAGACGCCGGCGTGGCCAGACAGTCGCGCGAGCAAGACGGCGGCGAAACCAATACACGGGGCCAAGATTGCAGCGCATTCGAAAGGTTCCACTTGTGCAGTAAAGTTCTCGGTGCGCAAATTTCGCCGTTCGTCGCGCTCACTTCTGACCAGGCGCGAGCATGGGGGGTTCTGCCGGGCGAGCGCGAGCTCGCGGAAGGCTTCTCTGCGCGCGCTCAGAGGGGCCCGGGCATGAGTCAAGTGCCGCCGAAGTCCACGCAGTCGTTGTACAGTCGCAGGTTGCCGTTGAGGAACCCAGCCACGCTGCTCGTCGGCCTCTGCGCGCCGTGCCAAAAAAACACATGCGATGCCCCTGAGAGAGCCAAAGGGGGATTGCCGCGCTCTGCCGGGCGTTGATTGCCCATCCAGCTGGGAGCAAATATGGGGGTCTTTCATAGCACTTCTCCTCCGCCTCGACGAGCCCGTCGAGGCCACGCGCGGGGGGTCGAGTGCCGGGCGCGCGGGGGGGCCACGGGGGGCCTCGCCGAGACCGGACGGGGCCAGCGGTCTCAACCCCTAACCGCTGGGGGGCCAGCCGAAGGGGGCGCCCTAACAATCGGCTCTGGAACTACTCAGTTCGTTGCAATGCGCGTCTTCTCTCCCGGGGACCTGGGGGCGCTCTGGCGCGACGTGGCCCGCGCTGTTCCACGCGCGCCCAGAGTCGCATCATGCGCTCGCGCTCAGATTTTCGGGATGCGTTACCGATGGGATTGGATTCGCTAGCGACGCGGCCGCCCGACGGTATCCCGGCAGCGTCGTTCCCACCCCCCCGCGCAGAATAAAGCAGCCAGCGGGCTTCGCGCTGGAGATCTCGGTCATCCACTCGGCGAACGCCTCGACTGCCCCGGCGAAAACAAGTTGTGGCTTCGCGGCCGCGGGCCCGGGGGGGGGGCGCAGCAACGCGCGGCGGGGGGGGGCCTGCCCGATCGAAGAGCCGCAACAGTTCCACGACCCAGCAGGCGCTCGGGAGGAGGCAAGAGGCAAGAGGCAAGAGTCCACTCCCAAGTTCGCCCAAAGGGCGGCCGCGCGCGGGGCCGGGGGGGGCGCCCGGGCGCCGCTCAGCTGGTCGCGCGCCCCCACTCGCTTCTCACTCTGACGAAGTCTCTGCGATGGGCATCCAGATTCTCCCGCCGCCGTCGCGCCCGGGAGGGGGGCGAACGTTGGCAGCGCGAGAGGTGCAAGAGATATCGCGTCGAAGCCGAATCTGGGCTCCTGCGCGGACAGCGGGTGGGCGGCCATGCCCCGAAGAGGGAACGCGGCGGCGCCGATCGACAGGGCTGCCGCGCATCTCGAACGCGCCCATCTCCGACCACATCCTGGAACTGCATCACCGGAAATTGCGCCCTGGCAGTGCGAGGTCGCGGGCGCTGCGCCGACGACGGCGGAGACTGACTCTACAACGATATCAACGCAACTCAACTAATTGCAAGACGACCGCGCGGAAGGGAGCTCGCGAAATAACTGGCGCTGAGATGTCAGAAGCACCCCGTAGGGCCCTTAGCTGCGTTTTGTCGTTTGTTCCAGGCCAGGCCCCCCCCCCCAGGCCGCTCAGCCGCGGGGGGCGGGGGGGGGGGGGCGAGGGTGGCGCGGCGGGTGGGTGGGGGGGCAGCGAGAACTGCAGCGCGCTGCGCGCACTGGCAACCAACCCTCAGTCAGCTATCGCTCAGCGCTCGCGGACCTCGAAGCTCTGGAGTCGCTGCAGCAGAGGTCGGCGGAGCAACCGTGGCCCTGCATGCGCTGGGCTCATCCGTCATATCGAACGCCTGATTCTTGATGTTCTCGAGGCGCACGCTCCGCGAGGCGGTCTCAGGGCCGCCCCGCGCGGCTTCGACGGCCGAGACAAAAGTGGCAGCGTTTTCGATCCACTCACTGATGGCGCCGCGAATCTCCCTCGCGCATGTCCTCGCCAAGCTCGGCCACCGCGCCGTTGGCCACCGCAGTGCTTTTCTCCAGGTCGTGGAAGCGCAGCTTTGCCAACTCCGCGAACGCCGGGTAGGCCAGCTGATTCGAACCAGTCGAGGTCTGTGGCGGCGACTCTTCGACGAGATGAACATCGTCGAGCTGCTCCGATTCTTCTGCGCCCGTGCTGTCCATCGGCGGCCGCTGGAGCTCGCCCCCGATGGGCGTCCAACGTCTGGCAACGTCTCGCCATCCACCGCGCGCGAATCAGCGGGGGGGCTGCGTGCTTTATGAATGGCCTCTGCAGTCGCTGGACAGCTGGGGCCCGGGCCAGAATGGCCATGGACGAAGCGAGCGGGGGCTCTGAGGGGGGGCCCGCGGGGCAGCGCAAAACGGAGACGTGCCGCGCACGCGCGCATGCCACCTATCGAATGCGAACGAACTTTGGGGTCGGTTGGGGCGCCCGACGCTTTGGATCCTGCGCTGGAAGCCCTCTAGAAGATATCGTCGCAGGCGCGCCAGCTCCAGATCAAACCGCGCACGCGGACCGTTGCAGGCGGCGTTTCGAGGGGCGACGGGGCAGAAGGGCGACGGGCACAGGGGGGGGGCCGACGGACAGAACGCAGGCAAGCCCGCTCGGCACTGGCGAGGACGCGGCCGTGAAACATCACGCGGCTTGATGGTGACGGTCACTGTGATGTAGTGGCGGTGGTGGTGGTGATGGCGGTGGTGGTGGCGATGGTGGCGGTGGCGGTAATGCTGATGATGCTGACGATGTTGGCGATAGTGTGATGATGACGATGGTGATGTTGCCGAAGATGACGCCATGTGTTTTAATGGTTTTCAGCCGCGCACTTTTCTGGCAATGCTACAGGCTGATGTCTGAAACCACCTTTGCACGCGTACTCCTTGCTCGAGGGGTCTACTTTGCCCTCTTCCAATAACGCTTCAAACGCCGCATCTGCGATTGGCTCTGGTGTTTCAGACTTACCCCGCGGAGGCTCCAACATGTCTCCCGACCACGCGTGGTCCAACTGATGCCGTAGCTGGCGACGCTGAGCTAGGGCGCTTCTTTCTGAGGTTCTCCAAATAACCCAACATTGCACCGACATCGCACTGTCCGCGGGAAGACTCATCGGCCGATAACACATCGACAACATCAATCGGTGAACGATCCGCCTCAACAACAGCCACCTCGTCTTTCGATCAGTCTGTATATGCATCGCAAGGAGCCTCCGTTCTGTTCAAGTTGTTCACCAAAGCTTCACATTGAACATATTTGTTGGGAACCTTCTGTTTGCCAACTCTGATACAGTGTAAGTGCGAAACCATCGTGCGACATCGATCGCAGACCAATTCAGCTTGATCGATGTTAAAGGTCGTCGGCGCCACATCTCCCATATACTTCATAACTTGCTTTTCAAACTTTTTCAAACGCAAGAGGCGGCCACGAGTTAATACCATGCAGAATGTAATTTGTTGGCGCTATCGGTAGAGCCCCTGCCAATCAGGCCCTTGCTGTCTCTCTTTTTTTTTTGTAAGGCAAAAGCTCAGAAACCGCCAACTATGTTGCTTGTGTGTTTTTCGAGTTAAGTTTGTACTTGTGCGTCAGTCAAATCAAAGCTTGGGGCACGTTTGCGTTTCCTCATACCACTTCATATGTAAATGGAGCAACTGCTGCGCACGAGCCGACACGGCTTTGAATTACACGCACCGGCACATACTGCAAACACAACACAGCACTTTCAACAACTATTCTACCAACCGCAAGCAATCACAACACAACACACATCACAACACAAGAGTACAACACACAAAAACACAACCACAACACAACATATACGTACACACGCACGCACACACACATCAAACACAACTGTAGACAACACTTGATTGCAACGCGATGAACTCGGGCATAAATCAGATCAGGCAGAAGCCAACGCGTGTTTCCCAACTGAGCAAATATTTATTGATGCAAAGAAACTGGAAGGCAGAACTCGGCAACAACAGCTCAATGAGCTTGATATTGCCCATCGGTTTCTTGCACCCGTCAGGCCCCGACCCATTCCTGCAACAAATCTCAAATTCATGAATACGATTATTTTTGATATATTGTCAAAACTCCCAACCATAATCATAGTCTCAATGATGTCTGAGAAACGGTTGATATAAATTCAAGAAGTCATTAATTTCGTAGCGCATCTCTTTAATCATGTATCGCTGTGCCAATAACAAGCACGTTCGCCTTGTGAAACTAACGATACGAAAGATCTACTCAAGAAGTGGAGCCTAAGGGATTCGCGATCCATTACATCGAGGCAGACGTTTGCTTTTTCGGACGCTTGCGAGCAGGCGCTTTGCCAGTAGTGGAACGCGCTCAGTTAAGGAAGAGGGAGGGGGGACAAGGAGGATGACGAGCAAAACGACCGCCATCCGCCCCCTGCTGCCACCCTGCAAGCGCCCGTGCTGCCACCGCTGACGCTGCCGGACGCGACCCCCTGGAATTCCCGCGGGCCCGCCCGCCGGCCGACCCGGCCGAGCCGGCGGAGGCCTCGCGCTCCAAGCAGGCCAACAGCAGCACGCCCTCGTACCAAGGGACGAACCGGGCGGGGCCGGGGCGGCGAGAGGCAAGCGGTCCGCGGATCCTTCCTGCTCCCGCTTCCCCGCCTCCTGCTGTTCCCTCCTCGACTCCTCCTCTTCCTCCTCTTCCTACTGGTCTGCCGTCCTCCTCCTCCTCCTCCTCCTTGACTTCCTGCTCTTCTTCCTCCTCCTCCTCCTCCTCCTCCTCCTCCTCCTCGTCGTTTTCAAAATGTGGCTCTTGCATTGGCGCCGCGCACATTCGTCTTACAAGTTTGCAGCCATTTCAGAGATGGAGGGCGGCTGCTTTTCACAATGTGGCTGTTGCCTCAGCGCCGCGCACATTTGTCATATTTACAGCAGCTCTAGGCAATCATGGGGTGGACATCGCAGGAATGAGGTTCTGGTGCGATTTACGATTGTCAGGACGCAACAATCACGTTGGCTGGTGCCCTGCTACGATTTAGGATTGTCAGGACGCACCCATCACGTAGACTCGCGGTTGAAGTCCCCGGAATGGTGTCTTGGTAAGACTGGGGATTCTCATGCGGTTGTCTTTCAATTCGGCACTTTCTGCGATGAAAAATAGTATCCCAGCAAAGAGCCTTAATAGCAGCAAAAGGAGGATTGAAGTCGAGGAGGTCGGCGAATGAAAAAACGTGCCAAGACAGAGTGAGCGCACTGCCATGTGACCTTCGTATGCATCCTACACAAAGAGCGTGGCTGTCTCGACCAAACATCTAGCCGGCATCAGGGCGCGCATGAGTACTCCTGAATCTTCAGTTGCGGGCGAGTCTCAGGCGAAACGACTGCTGGACCAAACGATCTAGGGCTCTTGGGGATATTATGCGGTGATGCTTTCACTCTAGTAGAACCCTCTAGCGAAACGTTGCGACGGAAACTCCTGCAGGTTGCAACATTGTAGAGCGCCTCGGAATTACTCTGGTCTTCCTCCTTTCCCTCCATATCCTCCTCCTCCTCCTCCTCCTCCTCCTCCTCCTCCCTCCCTCCCTTCCTCCCTCCCTCTCCCCCCTCCTCCCCCTCCCTCTCCATCCCTCTTCCTTATAGATAACTCCTCCTTGTCGCGCCCCGAGACGGGTCGGTAGGGCGGGCTGGGCGTTTCGCCTGAGAGTTCCTCACCATTTGTCATCCGCCGGAGAATTTGCATACATTTCATAGAACCATCGCGCGCGCTTCGGGCGCGATCAAGATCTAGCTAGGCTGATGATCGAACTCTTGGGATCTCTATTCCTTGACACTTCTTCTCCGGGGCTTCCAAGAACCACGAAGACGGCCGAAGCGGCTTCCAAGACTTCCTACGGTCCACCCACGACGTCTTGATTAAGACAAGCTCGAATGGGGCACTTCGGGGGCTCTTTTATTTGCCGCGGCTGGACGTAGCCGGAGGAAGATGGAGAAGGGGAGGTGAAGGGTTTCCCTGGGGGAGAAAGGAGAAGGAGGATGCGGAATTGGAGAGGGTGGAAGAGGCCGCAGAGGAGTAGGATCCGGCGGAGGAGAAAGAGGAGGAGGAGGAGGAGGAGGGAATCTGAGATTCATCTTCTGACAAGCGTAGCGAACCTGCCAGGCGAACTTTGAAACAAATGTTGGACATCCCGTTTTTCTCAAGTGCCCTCGGGGCCTCTCTCGGGGCTCGTTTGGACCTCTTTGGGTCTTCTTGGGGACCTCTTAAAGCCTCCTGGGGGTCTCCTGGGGCGAAAAACACGTTCCCGATCCTGGGCCGCGGTCGGGGCCCTCTCGGGCCGTCTTGGATGTCTCTTCGGCGCCTTTGAAGTCTGTTGGGCCGTCTTGGGGCGCTTTTGAAGCCTATTGGGCCGTCTTGGGGCGATCCTCGGAGCCTCACGGAGCGTTTTGCAGCGTCGGGAAGCGGAACAGGCGGAAACGCCACAATTGTTCAACATATGTTTTGGCATCTTCGAGCTCTGTCGGGAGACCTCTTGGAAGCCCCTTGGGTATCTTGGGCGCCTCTTGGGCCGTTCGGAGGCTGTCTTGGGGCCTCGTGGAACCTCTTTTGGGCTTCTTGGGGGCCTCTTGGGGCCTCTTGGGGGCTTCCTGGGGCCTCTTGGGGGCATCTTGGGGCGGAGAGCTTGATTTTTCAGTTCGCGTTCCCTCTCTTAGGCCCCTCTTGGAGCCTTCTTGGGACCCTCTTGCGCCGTTTTGGGAGCTCTGGGGCCGTCTCGAGACTCTCTTGGGCCGTCTTGGGGGCCTCTTGGGCCGTCTTGCAGCAGTTTTGGGAGCCTTTTGGGCGGTGCTTTAGCTTTGGGAACACGAAACAGCGAGAATGCAAAAAACATGATCAAACAGAAAAAGAAACAAAAATCAACGGTTTTGCCCTCTCGGGGCGCTCTTGGGCGGCATCTTAAAGGCCTCTTGGGGCGTCTTGGGGGCGTCCGGGGCAGTTGAAAACGCATCGTGCGTCGTCAGAGACCCCTGGACGGCGTCTCGGGGATGTCTCGAGACCGTCTGGGGCCGCCCGGATTGCTGTCTGAAGGCTCCCCGGGGCGATTTCAGGCCTCCCAAAGGCGGGCCCGGGCCCCGGGACCTACATTTACGGTCGAGGTTTCTGCTCTCGGCCCCCGAGCCCGGTGTACGGTTGGAGGGCGAGCCGTGTTCAACATGTGGCTCTCACCTAAAGCGTCGCGCGCATTCGTTTTGAACGATTTGCAATGCAAAAGCTTAACGGATGGAGGGCGGGCCGTTTTCGAAATGCGGTTCTCGCCTCAGCGACACGCAAAGTCGTCTACAAGTGGCACGCGTGCCCTGGCTCTTGCACAAAGGAGCTGCGAAGGACTGGGAAACCTGAACGGAGGAAGGCTGTACGGAGGAAGGCTCCCAAGGGTGGGTGGCTCAGGTGAGCTGGGTGGGGCTCAGGCTCAGGGGGGGGCGAGGGGGACGAACCACCACGAGCCACGAACCACGACGACAGTAAAGGGTTCCGCGGCCCAGGGGGGCTGCCCTGGGAAGCCTGGACGGAGGGGGGGTCCCAGGGGGGGGTGGCCCAGGGGAGCGGGGGCTCAGGCTCAGGGAGGGGGGGCCGAGGGGGACGAACCACCACGAACACGACGAAAATAGAGGGTTCCGCGGCCTAGGGGGGCTGCCCTGGGAAGCCTGGACGGAGGAAGGCTCCCAAGGGTGGCCCAGGGAAGCTGGGGGTCAGGCTCGGGGGGGGGGGTCCAGGGGGACGAACCACCACGACCCTGGGAAGCGTGGACAGGGGGGGGGGGGGGCGAGGGGGGGGAGGGGGGCGAGGGGGACGAACGACACGACGAACGACGAAAATAAAGGGTTCCGTGGCCCAGGGGGGCTACCCTGGGAAGCGTGGACAGGGGGGGGGGCGAGGGGTACCCTGGGAAGCGTGGACAGGGGGGGGGGCGAGGGGGACGGGGGGGGGGCGAGGGGGACGAACGACACGACGAACGACGAAAATAAAGGGTTCCGTGGCCCAGGGGGGCTACCCTGGGAAGCGTGGACAGGGGGGGGGCGAGGGGGACGAACGACACGACGAACGACGAAAATAAAGATGTCCGAGCTCTAGAGCACAGCTGTGCAAGAGAATAAAGGGTTCCGTGGCCAGGGGGGCTACCCTGGGAAGCGTGGAACAGGGGGGGGGGGCGGGGTACCCTGGGAAGCGTGGACAGGGGGGGGGGGGGGGGGGCGGGGGGGGGGGGGGGGCGAGGGGGACGAACGACACGACGAACGACGAAAATAAGGGTTCCGTGGCCCAGGGGGGCTACCCGGGGAGCGTGGAACAGGGGTGGGGCAAAGGGGACGAACGACACGACGAACGACGAAAATAAAGGGTTCCGTGGCCCAGGCGGGCTACCCTGGGAAAACGTGGACAGGGGGGGGGGCGAGGGGTACCCTGGGAAGCGTGGAGGGGGGGGGGCGAGGGGGGCGGGAGGGGGGCGAGGGGGACGAACGACACGACGAACGACGAAAGTAAAGGGTTCCGTGGCCCAGGGGGGCTACCCTGGGAAGCGTGGACAGGGGGGCGGGGGCAAACAAGAGAATAAAGGGTTCCGTGGCCCAGGGGGGCTACCCTGGGAAGCGTGGACAGGGGGGGGCGAGGGGGACGAACGACACGACGAACGACGAAAATAAAGATGTCCGAGCTCTAGAGCACAGCTGTGCAAGATAATTAAAGGTTCGCAGGGAGCTTCACGGATGAATGGCGGCTCCTTTTCAAAATGCGGCTCTCGCTGTCGCGCCACGCGCGTTCATCTTCTACAGAGTTTCCATGGTTCTTATCGCCGACGTCCTCTGGCACGGTATAGGACTGTCAGGAACGACAATCACCTTGGTTTGCGGTGTTGAAGTCCCAGGAACGACATTCTGGCAAATCCCCAGAATGGTGCTTCGGCAAACTTGTAGATGTTTGGAGGAAGGGTTGATTGCAACATCTTTGATGAGTCTTGGGTTTACACCGGTCCCTGCTCCTCCCCCTCCATCTCCTCCATCTCCTCCTTCCCTCCCTCCCTCCCTCCTCCCTCCCTCCCTCCCCTCCCTCCCCCCCCCCCTCCCTTGCTCCCTCCCTCCGTCCTTCCCTCCCCCCTCCCTCCCTCCTTCCCTCCCTCCCTCCCTTCCTCCCGCCCGCCCACCCGCCCCCCGCCCGCCCCGCCCGCCCTCCCTTCCTTCCTCCCTCCCTCCCTCCCCCCCTCCCCTCCCCACCCCTCCCTCCCTCCCTCCCTCCCTCCCTCCTTCCCTCCCCCCCTCCCTCCCTCCCTCCCTCCCCCCCCTCCCTCCTCCTCCTCCTCCTCCTCCTCCTCCTCCTCCTCCTCCTCCTCCTCCTTCTCCTCCCTCTCCTCCTCCTCCTCTTCGTCCTCCTCCTCCTCCTCTTCGTCGTCCTCCTCCTCCTCCTCCTCCGCTTCCCCCTCCCCTCCTCCTCCTCCTCCTCCTCCTCCTCCTCCTCCTCCTCTCCCTCCTCCTCCTCCTCCTCCTCCTCCTTCTCCTCCTCCTCCTCCTCCTCCTCCTCCTCCTCCTTCTCCCTTCCCCTCCCCCGCCGTGCCCCTCCCCCTCCCTTTTTTCTCCCTCCCCTTCCTCTGGGGCCTCT